ATTTGTAATTGCAAGTTTCATTTCAGACCAAAATTGCACCACACGAAGTTCAATTACCACTTTATTATATCCATTTTGAAAACCGACATSACTTACAATCTACAAGCAGTCGATTCAGATTTTTTACAGGCACAGTAAAATTTAACATACCCCCCCTTCAGCATTATTATAACATTCTAGTAATCCCCCCTCATGGGTCGAGATAACTTCAGTGATCCCCCCATACAAATGCACATCAGTTCCTTTTTTTACTAAGGTACTTCCAGTTTCAAATCGACATGTCCTTGTCAAATAGACTTTTACTCAGTATTCTCTGCAGTTTCTTCACATCGTTTRAATTAGCGCAATGAATTTAAGTCCATCCGTAATTTGTATACATCAGGTATACKGGTGTTACAATCTTTTGTTACAATTGTTGTTCTGATCACTCTTTCCTTTTTTTTGTTATTTAATTTGTTCACTTGTTTAAGATTTTTGTTTATTATTTTTTTCTATTTACGGAGCTTGTACAACGTCAATTATTTGTTCGTCTGGAATGAAAGTTATTATGGGCACAGTGCTACTTGAATCAGCGATGACAAGATCATTGTCACTGCAGCTCTCATCATCACTCCAATAAACWTCGGAATCGTCACTTGAACAAACACTTATCGTCACTGGACTCACCCTCTCTATCACTAGACAATTGATAGGCTGGGCTTGGACATTTTTTTCGGTAATGATAGCAACGGATGGCTTTAATCTTATCAAGTTTTCAGGTCAGAGCATGCTTCTTCAGATACAGGTCGAGTTCTCGTACCCGTAGCTTTTCCACTTTACCACTCTCAATGAGTGTTTCCCATTCAAAATCTTTATACTCCCTTTCCTCCATTTGCCTTCTTCGTTCTTTAGTTTCTCTGGCCRCTCCCATATCTTTCCTTGCATTTATGTCATTAAGGTGACCAATGTAGACTACCACATGTTCCTCTTCTACATTATACTTCAAACAGAAGCTCGAAATGGCATCTGAATCGTCGGTGCTAATAGCTTTTTTCTCGTGCAAGTCCTTCAGACATTTTCTTGGCATATAGTCATCTAAAGTCCTGCCTGTCGACTTTTTCTGGTAAACATTTAGGAAATGCCTAGGATTGTTTTTGTCCKGAATGGGCTGGGGAATCCTCTCTGTTTCTGGCCCTACCCATCTATTGCAGCTACACCAGGAACAGAGAATGATGCTGTCATTTCTTTGTTCTTTACATGAATCCCGATWGAACTCCATAAAAAGTTCTCCTGCGATATAGTGATCCTGAATAAACTTCTCAATTTTAGTGAAATATGCCGCGCCAGGTACTTGCATCTTATTGCTTACTGAAGCACTGCGGTTGGCTAAGCTCAGTGGAATTAAAAAAAGAATAATTCTTGTGGAGGCTCACTCACTCTACTATTAATATATTCGTTAAGCACTGGGGTCGTCAATCCTTTCAGAAACAATTTTGCATACATGCCAAGCACTTCTCTCCATCCGCTTCTTTTCGTGCTCTTCGTAAGTGTGGAGAGACGTTCTTAATTTATTCTTCTGTGAGATCTTCGAAACTTCTATGCCTCTCCCACTCAAGCGTTGCACCATCCACCGTCCGAAATGGCCGAATTTGTTCGCTCGGCCTCACCTTGTCCGCTATCACCTCTCGATCGATGACATCGTACTCTGTAATCGGAGCTGTAAATGCGTGCTAGTTCTGCGTCACGCAAGCTTTCTTCATAATTCAAAACTCCAACTCCTGSCCCAGCGTCTGTTAAGTMTGCCCATTGTGGCTTCACGTGTGGTAAGCATAAATCACTGATGATGTCGAGTCTTTGCTTACAAGCATCACTCACTTTCAAAATTATGTTGACTCTTGACTCTCTTTCGAAGAACTTATCTTCAAAAAGCTCGTCAATGACATTTAAAATGTCTTTGGTGACTAGAATCCAACGAGAGGCAAACAGGGTCTTATTGTGTTGTGACATTTCGGTTGTCTCACAAATTTCCATTTAACAGTTTGTTTATTCTTAATTTGAGATGCCCCGCTCTTTGTTTTTCATACCTGTAAAACTTACAGTTATGTTCTCCTGTAATTTTGTTTAAGTCGTCTTGCTCTGTCATTTCCTGATAAAGAAAAATATCATCTTGGAATCTAGAGCAGCATTTGCGAAAGCCCAGATAATACGCGTTGGCAGTTTCTTTCTGATCAACCTCGAAGTATGTAGGATCCTCGTGACGCAAGCGAACCCTTTCACTTGGACAGACGCTTCCTGATGACCCAACTATTCTCTTGGGCCTGACAACCACATAATGTCGGTCGTCCTCCGTGATAAGCTTTTCATCAGTTTCAGTCATGATGCTTGACTTAGTAAAAATGCGATGAGAACCGGGAGTCACGTAGACATTTTCTCTGGCCAATCGTATTTCGGCAACTTTCTCGCCTGGTCGTCATCCGTAAGTGTCAAGACTCGAAGATTTCGCGCTTTATCAAAACCTTCTGAAGTACCAGGTCTTAGGTGAGCTTTATCATCTTTGCTTCTCATGAAGCAAAACGCTCTAGCTTTGGCATTTCGTGCACCCCAGAATCGCATTTTTATGTTTTTAACATGAGCACGCTGGTAGTGCGTATTTTCGTTATTTTTTTCTTTGCCCTTAGGAGGTTTCTTCCAACAAAACAGACCTTTACCTTTATGGCGCTTGGCTTGCAGGCTTCTTTTATTTCGTAGCCTCGCCCTATTGTACACTGTAGTAGCTGATCGAATTAACTTTTTACCACGCTGAGCCAGCCGGTAGTTTGCTAGTGAAAGCAGGTTCTTCTTATTTACTCTCTGGCCATTGTAGAGGATCGTATCATGACGTCTCCCATGGTAAGATGCTTTGTCATCTACCGCCTTTGCAATAAAGTCCTCATCGTCCCCATACAGCTTAGACTTGGGACCTTGGTTAGATAACTTTCGCCTTTTTAGTCTATTACTTTCCAAAAGACTTGAAGCTTTGGCGCTTAAGCATTTGACGCTTCCTTTCATAACAACTATCAGTTGGTTCGCATCGAAGTAGCTTGTCTGTTTCTTAGACGTTTTCTTTGAGCTCCTGGATCTCGTTTTGTAATTCTTCAAGCGTCTTGGAAGACCACAAATTTCTTTTCTTATCAAAAAGTTCCTTCTCAGAATTTAAGCGCAAAAGGACTAAATCAGCTGCTACCTCATTAGCATTCTTAGCCTCTTCGACTACAAAGTTAACCCTTGAAGTCATAGAGGGAAGGTTGTCAGGATCAAAACCAAGGCGTTTCATCTCGTTTCTAGAGGATATTGATCTTAAAACAAATCAAAACAACAGGCAAATTTTATTTCATTCTGAATCCATAGTGGAAACAATTCCCTGTAAATTCTCCATTTTGAGAATAAGGGCACCATCACTGCATTTGTTATTGTCGTTAATATGTCATTACAAATATTAAGAAACAATGCCTCTAGGTCTACATTGTCAGGGCGGAGGGGACGTATTCTGATTTTTCTTTTACACTGATCAGATTTACTCTAAGGCCATGCCTTTCACGAAGGACGGCCTATACGAAAGACATTTTTTGGCATTCTGTTTGTTCCCCTGAGTGTTCAGGTTGAAATGCAAGGAAATACTCAAGAGCTTCCCTGAATGGCATTGAAGATGTTATTTCTATCGCACCGCCGGCATCTTGCACTGGGAGTAAAAGTTGATCTAATAAATACAGTATAGACCTAACTGACTTTCGGTATGACTTCTATTCTGTTCTAATCGACAGAGTTGTAGAGGCGTTCTAACTTTTATTGACTTTTGAAAAAGAAAGCCTTAATATAAAAAATATATTAAAGCTGAAAA